TCCCCAACAAAATTCGTTCCTAGTTGATTGATTCTCAATTCGTCCCCTCAATTAGCCCGTCCCTGATCAGAAACAATTAGAAACAAATATAGGAATAATAGTCATCAATCAGAAAATTGATTGCTGCGTAGAGCACTCTGTATATATATATGATGTGTTTTCTTAGTAGTGTATTAGTTTCCCTATTGACATTATCTCTGCTCTGAGAAATGCTGCTATTCACATCTTCGGAGCGCGGTCAACCTGTACTCAATTACAATTCTCATCAATACACAAAGAAGCGTGCGAGAAAGACGAGCAACGAGTGGCGTTGTCGAGATCGTGGTTGTGCCAGCATGCTTTTTCTTTGAATAGTCGATGCAAAAGTTCTTCCCGAGCCCTCTACTCATACTTTTCAACAACCAGCTTCTGTCGGCAAATCTCTAGTCGACAAAGCAGTTGGTAATATGAAAAAACGTGCACGAGAGGAGACTATGCCGATCCCCAAAATCTATACACAAGAAATCGTTAAAGCTCGTAGGGTGTGGGTGTTGATGAGGATATGGATATGGCTCTAGTCTTCAACCACACCACACCCACCCGAGAATCTCGAGCTCCTTCTTAACGACCATAAGGGCGGATTGAACACTGACATGCAACTCGCGATCAAATATGGACGCGCTTTGAAGACAAAACTTGTCAAATGATTTTTGTTTCTTTTATTTTTTTCTTGTTTCTTTGTTACTCTTGAATAAAACAGCTGATTGTTGAAAATCGTCTGTTTATCAAATTAGCCACCAATTAGTAGCTATTGGATTGGGGGACGAATTGAGAATCAATTAACGGGGTACGAATTTTGTGGGGGACGAATTGAGAGTCAATTAATGCGGAGGGGACGAGTTGGGGAAGAATTGGGGACCAGTTGGGGACGAATTGGGGACCAGTTGGGGACGAGTCGAGAGTAACTCATAAAAATCTTTGTACATAACTAAAAAAAAGATAAATCGTAGGATTGTTGTTAATATATTCGAATAAATACTGAGATATAGTTTTTCGTCATTTATTAGAGAATTTTCTTTAATGATCATTTATAATCATATTGAAATCTCAACTCTATCTTAATATTGATTCCTGTATCAAATCAACACTGCAAAGGAAATGATCATGTACAGAACAATATAAATTTGATTTTTCTTTCAACCTAATAAAATCTACGTATTGATCGATGTGCAATAATCAAGTGCATTTAAGATCGTTTTCTTTTTCTATCTATGAATACATTTTCATCAGAAGATTAAACTCTTCTTATGCGACGATTGACTATGCATATCATATATGGAGAAATAAATAATCATTTTCGATCATTGCAAATGCTGTACAAAATTTCATATATGACTCTCTTACTAAATTTGATGATAAGTATAGAAAAAAAACATACTAAGATATTGCAAACTGGATTTTTCATGAAGCATAAAGTTTGAGATGAAATTGAATTTAATCTATTGTAAAAGTTAACATAGATATCATCAAAAACCTTCGAAATATCAATGAATTTTGAATCAATTTTCTTTCTATTGTCCTTACATAAAGAGACTTTTTATTAACTATCGATATGACTTAAGGCTATGAATAATATGTTAAAAATTTTGAACGAAATCAAAAGAAAATGGAGAAATATGAATGGTTATTCGGAATTGAAACCGACTATAATCAATCAAGTTTTTTTTGGTTTTGTTTTGATTCTTGATAGAATTTTTGATCGTTTAGGATTTGTTATGATTTAATTCTTTTCAATAAAGAAAAGTTTTAAAAAGACAAGACATAATATGAAATATTGAGTTTGGTCTTTCTATCGATTGACTTATTCCTATCTCTAGGATTTTAATGTCGTTTTCAAAATCAAGAATATTATATCAAAAGTTAAATATTATTTTATCATTCAATAAACAAATTTCTTGGATTGAAAATTGATGCTGTAGTCAAATGAGTATATATCAAACAGATTAAGAAGAGTTTTCCTTCAATTTTTTTCTTTTCTTTTTCTTAGATTTACACAATAAAATTTCTTTGTGTCTGATTAAAATATATTATTGAAAAATACATTTTGATTATTGATATAGGGAATTTTTTTACGAGAAGCAATTTGAAGTATATATCTCACTGATAGCCTATTATCAATATCAAAGGATGACTAAATAATGAAATTTACTTTTTGTTGATATTAAACAATTGATGCTTGAACCATGGAAAGATATCAAACCATGTTATATGTTTATTCTATTTTTTTAGTTAAAATTAAACTGATAAAAAGCTATTAGAGAAAAGTCGTTTTTTTTTCAGAGAAATTTATTTAATCGATTGAGTAAATTAACTCTTTCGATTGTAAAATACAGTCGAGTTATTCTATCTTGGTTTCAGTCATCTATGAAAACATGCAAAAGATGAGATATTGGCATTTCTCTTATTTACGATTGCTTAAAATACGGAATTGTTTTTTTTTGTTCTTTTGCAAACGATTCTCTTTGGATACAATTGATTCGACAGAATAGATTTTAACATTTGAAAAATCTTATAAAAAAAAAATTAAAATTTTCTCTCACTTGAATATTTATAAGACTAAAAACAATGTCTTATCAACTTCGGTCAGAAGTAAATTTTTTAAAAGAGGTCTTTTTCATTAGGTTGTTAGTCAACAGCTGTTCATAATAAGTTACATATGTGGTCACTTGCTTGTATGTCAATATTATTAGTTGATGGTGAAAATTTGGATGGGTGTGGATGTAATTTTTTTTACTTGTCCTAGATCCACATCCACACCCTACGATGTTGATACCTTGCATTAAATAATTAAAAACATCTGAATGAGTATGAGTTAAAATATTGTCATGAAGTAATTTTATACTCTTTGCATCTGATGACTCTCCTCTTTTTTTTCCCTATTTCATTCACAAAAAGCTTGAAGCACTTTTCAATATAATAGTTGTGATCTATAATCTTGCATTAATCAAAATTATGAATAAGAACAGGACTATTTAATTTAAAGAATACGAATAATAAAGGTTTTGATTCAAATCTACTTCGACGAGTAATAGTTGTTAATGATTGATCTTTATTAATTCAACTTGCATAGGCGACTTGCACAGAACCTCACTATTTTTCAGAACAAATTCTAACTCGTTCTCGCTTTTGTTCAATCTAACGAAAGAGAATTAGAAGTTTCAGCTATATTATCATCATAAATTCAAGTGGATTATTGTTCAGAGTGGTGGTGCGGGTCTTCTTTTGATGCACATTCACACTCGTCTAGAATTTCGAAATTTCAAAAACATGATTTTCGTAGCAAAACTTTATGAACTGTTGATTGGTAAAAAGAATATTTCGCTCCATCACTCCATCTCCGAAGTATCAATCATTTTGAAAAAAATGATATTCTCTACCTATGGGCATTAGAGATCTTTGGATCTTTTTATATGATATAGATTAATGCAGAGGCACACTAGCATTTAATCTATATTTCGAAAATACTACAATAGCTTAAGGAATTGCAAAGAATAAGTCACAATATGGCCTATATTACTATTAATGAGCCGGAAGAAGAGAATCAAGAATAAAGTCAATGCGCGGGTTGTAAGCCTCATCATGTAAAAAATTAGAATCACATATTTAAAATATGGATGAAATATCTTCATTTGTTATACAATGCCTCAAACAAAAAAGTAGATGATTATTTGACAATATGTGTCAAAAGCAGATGTACTGTTTCAAAATTATTTTGAATGTAAACATTCCCTCCTTTTTCCACTACTCAAAATACTATGTAATATAAGTGATTTTTATCCATTTACTACTGTCATGAAAGGACAAAGCAAATCAAAATTTCTCATCTCGGTGAATCTTCTTTTTTTTACCAAATGACTATTAAAGCAACCAAAACCAATGTACGTAAAGAGCAGAACAACAGATAGATCAGAGTAAATCATTGCCATATTCGACATGCTAATGCTTTACTTATAAGATCATTTAATTATTGGCTGTCATGAAACCACTCTCGCGGAAAAAAAGCTTAGAAGGTTAAAAAAACTAATCTTTATTTATTAAAATCATTATATTATTTTCTTTTGACGTATTTTTATATTCACATTACAGCTAATTAAATATTATATTGTCTTCTGGCCTTACTGAAGATAGGAAATTAAATATCAGAAAGTTAATATTCAAAGGATTGGATTAATTAACCGTGATTTTTTTCAAAACAATATGTTAACAAAAATAGTTAACTAATATTGCTATTTGCTCAAACTCATAAAACTAATATAGAATAATTTATTAAGAAAAACTTCCTTCAGCCCATTGCGTATGGAACATTTTTTTCAAATAAATAGCGACTAGAAGAGAAACATTTCGAAAATAGCACATCATATTATTATATTTTGTTAACATCCGTCACAAAAAAAAGCGTAAGTGGGCAATTTCTTATGATTGTATTAAGAAAGAATTTAAACTTTGATGGAAGTCTCAGAAAAATAACAGTTTTCTCATAAGAGTGGTGATCAGGCCATTTGTCAGCCACCATTATTTCCGTATAAAAAACAAGATCTAGACACAGTAAGGCAAAAATGGAGAATATTTTGTACTACTCAGCTTTGTGAAACTCGTCTAACTGACCTTTCAAACCGGCACTACTTCCTTTTTCCTCAGGAATCGACCGACAATTTTCTGTATCAACTTATGACAGTAAGCACATTATTAGATGCGGAATTTCATGCAGACTGCAAATATCAGCTGCATATTTCAAAAGATATGAAATTTTAATCAAATAAATTAAGTTTTACAGTTATGCTTGCATTTCGAGAGACATTTAGTTTTGGTTGTTAGTCTTTATTAGGAACAAGTCTGAAATAGTTAAACATATGTTTTATAGACAAAATTTTGATGATCTATCCAAAGCATATAAAATCACGATTATAAAAGCTCAAGTTTAATCTTGCTGCAACTTTAAACTGTAAAATTAGTCGAAAATTGCTGATTTCTTATAAAAAGTGCCATTCATATATGCAGGGTAATCTAGCAAATCCAGTTCCGATTGAAGGATAATGACATGAAAAATCCAATGTTTTATCTTTTGTGAACAAGGTGTGGATGCTGAGGAAGTGAAGATCTTTAGACCCTCCATTCACACCCATTCAAAACAGCTTTGTATATTTGAGAGGAAAAGAAAACAATCATAGAGGAATGGCTGGTGGACTACAGGATGGATGATACTATCAAACATTTATATAACAACAAATAATGTTTGTATTTATGAACAACAGTAATCAGTTTACTTATCTATGTATTAATATTAACCAGTATTATGTTTAGATAAAAATGTTCTACATTGTTTTTCATGCTATTACTCCCGAATGACAACTAGGGTTTCGATTTTATATCGTAGAATCTCTTGTTCAACTAATTAGTGTGAGCATTTTGAAACGTACTATATGTAATAACAGTAACTTTCGTTCTCGTTAGTAAAAAAAAGCAAATATATATATAAAAAAAAAAGATTCTTTTCGTTAATAATCTCATAATCCTCTGCTATAAGTTGTACATCTTGCAGACATATGTAATACAAAATGATTTTTTTTATCAATAAGTAGCTTAGAGAATTCTCTACGCATAATATGCAAGGAGTTTTTTAATATTTCATGTTTTGCATTTTTTACAATGTTTCTAAAAATGGTGATTCTAGTCGCTGATGGGAATAAAGGCTTAACGTTCATTTGAAACATGTTCTATTGTGGAAAAAAACGCATTCAGAAAATAAGACAATAAAATCACATAGAACATTTCTGAACGCCTTATGTAAGGAATGGATTTATATGGATGAGAGGCGCCTTGCAAAAGAATGTTAAAAGCGCCTTCAGACACGTTCTCCAAAAAAAACACCACAATCGTAGTCAGTGACAACAACTACATCGAAGAATCCATATCACATCATTGAAAAGAAAACTTCTTTTTTTGTTCAAAATCTTACCTGAAATTCTCCCAAGCGACAGTGATAATATTTAATGTTTTCAAATTTCTATATTCAATTATATCATCGTCGCCCGAGAGAACTCCTGGTGAGATTTTGAACAAAAAAATCTCGCGGAATGCACGCCTACCTATAAAAGTTAGTTTACTTGAGCAAAACATGATATATTTTGAAATGTGCAAATAATATTTGCGATCAGTTTGTTAACTAACATCTGGCATGGATGTTATGTTTGAGTGATTTTTTCGCAAAAAATAATAGTAGATGAAAAATGACCTCATAGTTTTCTTAATTAGCAACCTATCATATTATTCTTGCTTTTTTTTTTCGTTTAGTTTTTTTTTTTTGAAATAGATAGTGGAAAAATTCTTTTCTTTTTATTAGCATAAAACAAAAACAATGTTGGTAGATATTGCTCTGCAAATTTTACGAGTAGTATTAATAGTATTCATTATTTTGGGAATTATTGGTAATGGTCTCAATTTATTTATATTTACGCGTCGGACACTTTCACGATCATCATGCACATTATATCTTATTGCTGCTTCGATTGATAATATTCTGGTTATTTGCATATCATTATTAACTCGTTTATTAGCCAATGGATTCTCTCTTGATGTAGCAAAAACATCGGATGTTATGTGTAAATTACGATTTTATTTTGGTTATGTATTTTTTGCTTTATCACCATATTTCTATACATTGGCTTGTTTTGATCGATATTGTTCAAGTTCAGCATCAGCTACACGTCGATCATTGTGTAATAAAAAAGTAGCAAAACGATTAATTATTGGAGCAATTATTTTGGCTTGTATTTTATATTTTCATATGGCAATATTCTACGAAATAATTAGAACAGGTCCTTCTTTTACCTGTAATGCTCGACCGGGTACATATGAGTTATTTTATCGAATATTTTATCTGGTAATTTATTGTATTTTACCATCTTTTTGTATGACTGTATTGTGTGCACTCACTCTAAATAATATTCGTCAACAATCACGTCGAATTCAACCTGTCTCAGGAACTGGTAAAGATGGTTCTCGTCGTCTTGATCGTCATTTAATTCGAATGTTATTTGCACAAATTATAACACAAGTTCTTTCTATTCTACCATTTGCTATTCTTAATTTAGTGGGTTTTTTAACTGATCGACGTACAGATTTATTTGGATTTTTCAATCAAATCTTTACTATACCATTATTTGTTAGTTATGTAACAAGTTTTTATATATTTACAATGTCATCTCGTATTTATCGGCAGGAGTTACTTAGACTTTTCTGGTTTCGAAAAGTAGGAGACGATGGAAGAGAATTTAGTTTGAGAACATTAACAAATGGTCGAAGCATTCAAACAAGAATCAAGGGTACTGTTAGTGAAAGTGCGACTTAAAGAAGAAAAATTTTACTGGAGAACTTTAATTAATGTATGTCTATTGAATGTTCGTTTGTAATCATTATTGTACAATAAAACTCAATAATAAAATGAAAACTTTGTTTGTCTATTATTGAATGTTTGTGGAGAGGAATCTATTCATCATCTCTTTTCTGGTATTATTGCAATAAAAGATTCTGAAAAATATTGATTTCAACCAACTTCAAGTCATGGTTACTCAACTATAATTTTAGGCCAAAGATCCACTTGACTCTCAATTGTTTGAATTCTCGTCTCATAAATAATTTTTAAAGGTCTAACACATTGATTCCGATTGACTGGATTTTAATGTGCAGCAGTATTCGTCTTATTTTATTTTAAGTAAAGAAAATAATTTTGTTAATTATTTTTCTATAAAGCATCACTTGTGGCAAATACAGTGCATGAACCAAATAATAATTCATATGCACAAAATTTCAACTGTTATTGATACATTTTGTACAACCATGAATCGATGATTTGTCAGATTAATCCTATTTTAAACATGAATCAAGCATAGATTCGCTTGTAGATAAAGTATACAGAACAAGAAAAATTTGTCGCTGATGAGTCATGTGAAGTAATGAGCAATGAATAGATGTTCATACTTTTAGCTTTTCATGTAAAAATTTAAAAATGTGAAAACAATTTTATTAGAAAAAAATATTTTCTTTTTTTATGCTTAAATTATATATTTATACTGTGGTCCTTAGAAAATATATATAACATTAATTTCATTTACGTCTTTGTCGTCTAGCTTGTTCTCGATCTCGTTCAGCACGACATTCTGGACAATCATCATATGTATGTGATCGATATCGATCACGACATTCAGAGCAAGAACAATTGCTACATGTTGAACAATGACTACAGCTTGATGATGATGATGATGATGATGAAACTGGTCGTTGAATGGTTTGTGGTCGAGCTTGTGCTACTGGTATAGGTGGTAAGTCTTCATCACTTGATTCATCCGGTTTAATATCAGGTTTAGTTTTTGTAATTCGATAAATTTTCGAAACTTTAACTTTAGTACCTTTATGTTTTAATAAATCATTAATATCATTATTAGAAACAAGACCTTTTATTGTTTCATTTTGTGCACCATCTGGTGCAATTGTAAATGCATTATCTTTATATTCTTTTAGACCTTTTTTAGGTGCTGGTGTTTTTGGATCGGGTGAGGCTGTAGAAGTTTCTTGATTAGAACCATATGGATTATAATAATATGGTTGTGGTGGTCGTAATTGCTCAGGTGGTTGACGTTGTTGAGGTGGACCATATGGCATTTGCATACCAGGTTGAGCATATACAGGTGGATAACGTATTGGTTGTGTCATAATTTGTGGAGGGCGAACATTCGCTGGTACTGTCGCATAATGATTAAAGGCTTGATTAGCAAATGGTGGAGATGGTTGTCTTTGTCCAGGTGGTATCATATACCGAACGGGCATTGGTGCAGCGTTTGGATATACATATTGACCATATGGATAGGGCTGCATGTCTGACTGTTGATTTGCGTACGTTTAAATTAATTGACGGGGTGTATTTATACAGAGTAAAAGAAAAAGAAATAATTCGTTTTGTTTGTCGTCAACAATACTCAGTTGAAAGCATTTACTGATTTTTTTTCAAAATGTTAGTTGATTTATTTACACTTACTTAACAGCAAAAATCAGTCGACGATCAAAACGAAAAGAATGAAAAGTAAACTTAGTTGATTTAAATCGCTTTAATGACTCATTTTACCTGAAGAACATACGAATAAAAACTCGTGAATTACAAGAAAAAATAGTCGCTAGTCTTATATTTTAACTATTAAAATAATATATTTAGAAAATTCTGTAAAAAGTAAATTACTATGGAGAACATGGATAGTTGAAATTCTGCATTTTTTTCTGTTCCTCTTCCTTTGTATTTGACTAATTTTCTTTCACAAGTTTCATTACGCATTTTCTTTTTTGCTTTTTAAAATACTGTGTTGTTGTTTTTTGGCTCTTACCGTTCTTACTACGTCCTTATCTGTTTTCGTATTCAGTATTGTTTTTCTTTCTTTATTCAACATAGACGATGCAAAAAAAATGGCGTGCAGATTCTTATGTTCTTCTATAAAAACATTAGATGCAAATTTTTGTTCGGCACTAATTTCAAGAGGCAACAAAAACAACATTCACCACGT